CTGCACAAGAAAATATATTTTTAAATATTTGCACTTTTACTTTTATGGGGTGGTATACTTACTCGTAAATATGCAAAGGGTGCACTTGACCAAACCAAGGCCTGCAGTGGTGAAAATGCCCTCACCAGCGAACATGCACGGACACACAAATGATCTTGACCTGCACAAGAAAATATCTATATATTATTTTGAAAAATCTACATATATATTATTTTAAAACAAGGCGCTTATTCCCAGCGATCTACAAGTCGTACAGAGACAAGTTATACATCAAATTAAGGTGCTCCATCTGAAACTTTGCACAAACTTTTTAGATTTAAGTTTCATTAAACCATTTTTTTAAATATTTGCGTCGAAAGATTTTAAAATTTTTACATTGAGCAAAGCATTGCTACGTTAATTTGGATAGGCAGCGTCTCAGCTTGACATAAGAGAATGAAAATCTTTTCCATTTATTCGCTTTTGTTTCTGTTTTTATTTAATATCGTTCAAATCATTGCTACGTTCGTCGTGTGCATGCAGGCAGCGATACAGCGGAAGATCTGCAAAGAAAATGTTCCCTTTTGGTTCTGTATATATGTAAATACACAACGTTGTTGCATATCCATGCATTCATACACAGTATCAACAACAACATCGCTGCTGCGCTGTGCGCTTTATTTTGATTCGAGCATTGTTATGTTCCATTTATTCTTTTTCGTCAAATCGTCATGGCAAATATGGTTCTATTTGTATTATAAACCTATATATGTATCTATATATAATCGTACAGAGACAATTTACTTTCAAATTAAGGTTCTGGATCTGAAACTTTGCATAAACATTTCAGATTTAAGAATCATTCGATGCACATCTTTGCCCGGAAAGATTTTTAAAATTTTATATTTAGCAATTTTAAAATGTAAATTTTAATCTCACACACGCATTCTCATTTCATTTCATTTATTATAAAATATAACATCAGCACAATAAGATCAAAATGATCTTTTATAGTACAACTGTAACTTATAATTAAGAATTAAAATATGTTAATGTTTAACATTAAGTAATATATAAGACAAAAACAGGGCAACAAAAACTTACAAAACTCTATAGAGAATCGCAAGTGGAGCATAAGGAAAAACATAAGAATAATGTATTGATTACCCTATACCTAACTAGATAGCGAGCCTCAGAGGAAAGGGTATAACTTTGGATATGAAATAGCATTTTAACGAAAATAAGAATACAAAACACTCTTAAAATTGCTTGTGTTCACACTATTACGAATATGAGATGGAATCGAGTTCCAGGTGCGAATAGCATCATCCAGGTGCAAATAGCATCACCAATTTTGAACAATTTATTTTTATTTTTTTCATATTTGTATGGTTTTAAAATGCTGTAAAACATAAAAAAATCCTGGCGGGCGAACTGAGGGAACGGTAAAGTATTTTAAACTCTCGATAAATATGCGTTTCAGAGAATCTGGTTATTTCAGTTTTCTCTGGCGGGTAACAGAAGGGCGAAAACTCTCCTCAGATTCATAAATTAAGATTGGTGCCACAAGAGATTATTTTGCGAGATTTAGCCGATTGGGTATTTGAACCTCAGCCTGATGTGATTAATCAAAACCACTTGAAGGATCGATCAATTTCGCGTCCAAAAGATAAGCACTGTACGATAGTTAATAAAGAAATGGTTAATATGTTGTCCGGAGTAGAAATGGCGTCGATATCTACTGTCGTTTCTGAATATCCACAGGAGCAAGTAGAAGTAAGCACCTCATGACTTGATACTAAAAGTTAGAGCAGCTGTGATGCTAATCCACAACCTAAATATGTACATATGAAGGGTTAGTTAATGGTCTCGCCAAAGAGTTAAATAATTACAATGGATGCCGCAATACAAATACATTTGTACATATAAAGAGTTAGTTAATGAACTTTAAACATGTGAGTCCAATTATATTATCCCATATAAATTAACAGCCAATCGAATCAACATTTGATTGATTGATTGTTTATTGAAATCATTTGTACAACATAAGACAAAAACAGTCTTTTAAAAGTACATCTACTGCAAATAAATACATATCAAACATAATTGTAAAATATAATGAACATTTTGTAAATTTAATACTATAGCTAAGCCTAAGTTTTTTAGTATCTATTACCATTATTAATTAATAAAGGCTGAAGGCACATATATTTACAATATGAGAAGATAGTAAGGATAAGAAACGAGTAGAATAGAGGCATAGAGGGAAAAAGAAGACATGTCACCTTAATTCAATGTCCTGATATAGCTCACGGAAATAACGGAGAATTACTGATTTGTACCTGCCTCTGTTTAGTTGCACTTTCAACGACTAAGGTAGTTCGTTCCAAAGTCGCACAGCGTTGACGAAAAACAGTCTGGATGAGGTCAGTGAGGTATGCTTTTGAGGTGCTTTTGTATTTAAACGTCGCCAATTCAAAATTATTGAAGCGTTCGCAATAACAATAAATAAGTCTCAAGGTCAGACCCTAGCAAGAGGATTGCTTAACGCATGCCGTATTGAGTAGAGTATGCAACGGCTGCACTTAACTAAAGTAGTTCCGAGTGGATTGCACCTGCCATACTTAAGGTGCCCACAGTCACCGACGTGTACGTATGCCGTGTCTGTTTGACGTGAGATACTCAAAATTGAGCAAAACTTATGCCCGCAAGGTAACGTAAAAAACAGCTACTTTCGGTTGTTTACATGTTTATAAAATACACTGGTGCCGAAATGAATCAAAAGAAGCGTTAAATTTTCGATTTATTTTTAAATTTATGTATATAGTATACGGTTTATATAAAAGATACAAGGACAAAAAAAAGTTCAGAAGGTATAAAGTTCGACCATTAAATAGAAATTGGGATAAAGGTGGTTATCAAATCCAAGTGTTCCGACGAATAACAAACATTGGAGCCTGATGAATTGTTCTCACACACAAGGATGTCACCGCCTGTGTATGAATTGCTTTTAAGATTAGTGAGCGATTCTTTGAGGAAGCCAAAACAGCGGATTGGTCCTGAGGAAAGACTATCTTTGGTTTTGCTGTAAGTATATCTATTCAGAAAGCGAGACTTCAAGTCCATTAATATTTCCTTCATAATGGTCGTTTAGATATTTGTCACAACGTGTATCTGTAAAGAGCATTGCATGAAGTTATAAGTTAGGTGAAACGACTGTGCGAAAAATAATACAAGAAACTTGTGAAGTTATCTGGCGGCTAGTTTCCCCAGTCTACGTTAGCGAACCTACTGAATCTCAGTACAAGGACATTGCTAAGGATTTTTTTGATAAATGGAACATTCCAAACTGTGTTGGTGCAATACATGGCAAACATGTTGCAATCAAGTGTCCAGCGAATTCAATTTCGATGTTTTACAACTACAAACAATTCTTTAGCATCGTCCTGATGGCCGTTTGTGATGCCAAATATACCTTCACCGCAGTAAACGTCCGAAGTTATGGTAGTCAAAGTGACGGAGGTATTAAAATATATATAATATAAGTTATTCCACCTAATGCACATGTATGTATGTGTATTTTACAGGAATTTTTCAATTTTCACCATTTGGAGAGAACTTGATGCAAAATACTCTGCCATTACCGCCCCCCGCGCCTTTATCTACATAATCACCAGAACCATTACCACATTATTTCGTTGGCGATGCTGCATTCCCGTTGAGAAGAAACTTGATGCGACCATATCCCGGTTCTATCTTAACAAGAACCAAGCGGATTTTTAATTACCGTCTTTCACGTGCACGTAATAGAAAATACATAGTTTTGGAATATTAACGGCGCGATGGAGAATACTTCGCACAACGATCGAATGTGATCCTAAAAATTGTGAAAAAAAAAATTGTCCTAGCCTGCATTGCTTTACACAATTTCATAATTTTAAACGATCACAATCGTTGGTATTGTCCTGAAAACTATGTTGATCGACAAGAAACAGGTAACATCGTTCATAGTGGGAATTCGCGACGTGAAATAAATAATGGACCCTCTTTACCACGTATGTCGTCAACAGTCAACAGGATATATGCTTAAAACTTTGTGGTTCATGGTTTAAAATCATATTAATATAATTAAATTAACGAAAAAATGTATCAGGTAAAAATTTGTGAATATTGTGGAAAATTAAAGTGTGCTATTTACGTGAGCGCCACTGTATATTATTTTTGCTAAGTAATAGGCTATAACTTCATAAAAAATATTAAACATTAAATAAACTAAAGAACAATAACCAGAACTTGCTAAAATGTCGCGTCCCAGTTTAAATTTGGTTCACTGTATGTAATTTATATAAATCAATAAACTTAAAACTTGTATGCTCTACTGTAAATTCATGTAGTTAAAAATATTTGCAAATATTTTCATTTATCAGGTAGTTCATTTAGTATTACAAAATTCAGGTGCAAAATATGCACATTTCTAGTTACATATGTATGTACATACATATATGCAATTTGTACAACGTATACATACATATTTCAAAATTCAGCCTAACTAGCAACACTTGTATAACAAAAAAAAATATATATGTATACTCCAAAACAAGCTGTTAAATTTCCATTACGACTAGGTCTTTTTCAACTCTTGTAATTTTTTTAATTTAAATGCTTAAATTGATGAATTGCAATCAACGATGGTAGACGTTTCCTTAAAATATTAATTTCACTTCAATTTGTAATATTTTATGCCCCATAAATCTGTGGTTATCAAAAATTTACTGCTGTCAAGAAATTTCATTTCACACAGCAGATTGGCAAAACTGTCTCACCATAGTAAAAATATTATTCAACAGCTTTCCCAATAGAACTGTGTTACCGATTCCCACACGCCCTTAGTAATAAATAACTGAAACCAAATTCACTGTACGAGTAAGGTTAAAAAATAAATAAAAAATCAATTACAAAAGACCTAAGAAACGGAATCCTCATTCTAGTTCCTGTTGCTCCTCGAAAGCCACCAACATCATTCATTGCATGGTCCGGGTTTGTTTAGCTGCACTCATTTTGGAAATCATAGTGACAATCATTTTTCCAAATGAGTCCACTGTTGGGTTGCTGCATTCATTATCCGTTTGCAGACACTTTTTTTTGAAGATGTCAATGGCTTTCAACAAGTTCTTCTCAACATCACTGGGGTGGAGCAGGTGACGAAGATGACGGAGATGAAGCTTGCATGAGTGATGGTGGCGATGTGGAGATACCATTATTGGTGTCGACGGTGAGTCCAAACACGCAGTGGCTGAAGGCGATGGCGATGGCAGAGGCACATATATCGGTGGAGAAGGTGAGGGCACGAAATCCACAATCTCAGGTGTCGGCACGGCCACCTCCGGACACACGTTTTGGGAACAGCGAGTTCTGTTACGGAAGCATATTTGTATTAATCAATTTATGAGCATATTTCACCTGTTTTTCTACTTACGGACGAGGAATCAGGTGGGGCTTTAAAAATTGCATACATTCAAGCAGATACCACGGTTTATAATACTCCGCGCCACTGCCTGATGGTGCTGCAGATTTTCGGACTTCTCTGCCATACCGGTCACGGAGAGCTATCCACCTCCGCATACACAGCTCACCTTTCAAAGAATGATAATATATATTTAATTATAACTTTCACTTACCACTTGTGTGCAACTCCTCGCCAATTTGCTCCCAAATACTTTTTTTTCTTCCATGGAACTTATAATAGGGATTAGCCTTGTCATACAGCTCCTTATTTGCCTCCACCAAAGATATAAATTTTTCATCATTCATTTCTTATTTTCTCTGTAAAAAACTTGTGTAAATAAACTCGCGAAATGAAATTGTGTAGCTGCTTTGGTTTGTTTACATATTTTGCTTGCATCGACACAATGTTGCCATTCATCTGTTTGCATACATACTTATACATACATCCGCGTTATCAATTGCAAATTTTATTTGTATTTTAAACCAAAACCAAAAAGCAACAAATGCAAATAATTCATGTATCTATATTTAACATTATTAAACATTGCTTTTAAATTATTTTAATGAAAAATTAAATTTTTGTAAGTTTATTTAGTTAAAGATTTTAAAATGTACTCTTTGGTGCTCTCATAAGTTTGATCGTGTCAGCTGACACGTAACTTACGTTTACGTCGGTGAGTATGGGCACTAGGGTGGCCAGATGCGCTGATTTAATCAGTACATATGCTGAGTTTTTCTATTGTGCTGATTTTTAAGAGCCCGGAATCAGTACACAAAATCTACTGATTTTTTGAGTTTGTACTGGTTTTGTACTGATTTTTAGATTTAATAAATACTTTTGTAAATTGGTGTAATTGACATTTACGTGAGGTTCAAAAAAATGGTTTTTAACAACTCATACGTGTGAGCAGATTGAAAGCATTAATTAAATTAAAACCATTATTAAAAAGGTGTCAGCTTGCAATTGTTTCGTTTCCTAGGATTCCGTAAAATAACAAACTGTTTCGATTCACCCCAACCCAACTTCACGATTTGCAGGTTTTACAGGATTTACAGGAAAAGCTGGTTTCGCCATTAATAAATCTTATGAATGGTGGTGGTGAGTTAATCATATATTAAGTACACTGAGAAGATGACAATAAGAGATAATCTTTTGATTATAATTAAACATCCACTGAGAAATCGGCTGTCAGTATTTCAAACGTTAGACGACTACTGCTATGGTGCAATGTAAGTTCTAAAAATTTGGAAAAGGTGCAAACTACCGACTCTTGGATATGATATATGTTGCTATACTTTGATTTTTGATGTTGGACCACCTGTAATTTTACTTGCACATACACATTTAACACTATTAAATATCATTCGTGCTCGAAAATTCGTTTAGTGATAATTCGGTAATATACCTTTTAGTCAACATTTTAATGTGAATGTTGTATTTAATAAGCACACCATCTAAATATGTTTTAAATTTGTAGCTTAAAATATGCAAACAGATTCTGACTCGAGCTCGTCTTCTACTGAAACTGAATGGGCTACAAATTTCTTTTAATTTTCTCAATTTTTATAAATTTTCTAGAAAGTTTGAGACTTCAACTCACATGTCTTTTGTTATAGAATTAACTATATTTTTATAAAAAATTTAAATTAAGTAAGGAAAGAAAACATTTTTAAAACCTGTCAATACATTTTACTACTATTTTCCTGAGCACAGCTTACATACGCAATACCTTTGATTTGTTTTAAAGTAAAGAATTCTATATTGATAATACTATATGTATTTAAAAGTCTATTAGTTATTTTTGTTAAATTAATGCGCTGTTATTTGGTTGTTATATTTAGGGAGTTCACAAGTCGTGCTATTTGTCATATTTGCTCTTTTATACTATTTTTTTAGAACAGTTTTAAAAGTGTTGTTTTTGCTTTACAAGTAAAATTGTTGTATTACAATACAACTTTGAAAAATATGTTTACTTTGCTATTTGTGAGTGCTATTGGATCAGACATTTCTATTTATTTACATTTTTCCTTGTCTGAGTACAATAAAATATTCAAATTTTAAATAAAAAAATGGAGTCATCTCATGGCAATGGAGTAAGTTATCTTTAATTTATAACATATTTAACTTATTAAAGATCTTTTTTAATTCAGTGCAAAACTAAGCGTGTCCGGGGAAAACCAAACCATATGTGGACAGTGTCGGAAGAGAAGTCCCTAATTGATTTTCTTTTAGAAAACCGCCTATTTGAGGTTGTAACACATTCAGATACCAATTGTTTGATTTCGGAACTCCTAGATGGACACTTCGGCGATTTGCCAACAACACAAGCATATTCATTCTAAAAGTTTCATCGATCTCTTCCTCCTCATCTTCATCGCCTAACAAAAATGCACCAAATAAATTTAAAAAACTCATAAATGACTTCTTTGACGACTCACTTCCTTCCATCATTGCGTCCTGCGCGTACTTCTCGCAAATCGCAGCCATTAATTTGCTTTTCTCGCTTCTTCTTGGCATTATAAACTTTCTAAAGCTGTTTTAATAATTTTGATTTTGTCAAATATAATTGTTAAAATATTGTACTATAGCACACGAAAAAGTATGGGATGCTCACAAGTTTCATTTTACAACTGTTCTAAAAAAATAGTACAAAAGAGCAAATATGACAAATAGCACGACTTGTGAACTCCCTAATTGTTAATAATAAAAAATACGCTTAAAAATTAGCTGATTTTTATGGCTTTGTACTGATTTTTGATCCCAACTGTACTGATTATGTCACTATATTATCTGGCCACCCTAGTTGCAACGGCCACCTTAACTTGCAACGGCTGAACTTGTTGTAAAACGCTACTTTTTGAATGCAAGTTATGAATAACTCTGATGCTCTGCAAAGAAATATGTAAATTATTGTTTTAGTTCAAAATATTTACATTATTTTTGATTTTTGGCATACTTACTTGAATTTGCGCAATAAGAATATGAATTTCAACGAAACAATCATTGAAAATATCGGTAGTGTTGCCTGTTGAACTTTTTATACGAAGACAAAATTTCTCCTGGTATTTTAGTAGTCGTTCCTGTAAATCAAAAAAGAAAGCAACACAGGCTAAGGCAGAATGCGGGAGCGAGACAACTGCCAGGTTATCCAACCTTGTATTATTGAATCAGGGCATTGACCATTCATGATATTGCTATTGTTGGGAACATTTGCATTTTATCTTGAGCGAATTATTATAATGGGAGTAAAAAAACTAAAACTAAATTGAATACGTTGGGTGTAAGTATTCTCACGCTGTGTTATTCATGAATATTAACTCATTTTAAACACTCCATATTTTTTTAGAAACGGACCGACGTAAAATAAATTATCACTTTCATCCTCTTGTTGTTTTCAATCTTCATAGAGGGCTAGGAAACGCAAAAGTAATTTTTTGCGTCTATTCAACGTTCCTCACAACACGTGAATGACAAAATATTACATAATTATCACAATGTAGAGAAAACAACAGTACCGTTACTTTATTATTGACGAACTCGACCAAAAAAACTCTCATTAGAACAAAGTACCAGTTAGAATCCGTGTACGTGTAAACATCCATGAGAATTCTCTGATCAATATGGCGGAACTCTCAAGGTATTTACCCTCACCTTTTACGAGCACCTTTAATGGATTAAATCTACTTTGTATGAATTTGACGTGTTAGGAAATATTTCGTGAGTGGGTTCTCTGAAAAAATCCTGGCCTGGATATTTTTAGTTACATATTCAAAAATTATTATAATTTTTTTAATTTTGCACTCATTTGTTTAATGAACAAATTACATATACATATGTTATGTTACATGTTAAACAGATGAGTGAAAATTACTGTTCACCTGCCAATCCGATAGGTAGGCCAGGAAAAAAATATACAACCCAACGTTTTCACATTCTATAGACTTAATACTTTCGATTGGTATATAACTTGTTCATTAAATATATGAGTGCAAAATTAAAAAAATTATAATAATTTTTGTCGGATCTTAGACTATCGTATGTTTATTATATTTTTCATTACCGTTCAATGGTTGTTTTAAATAGACATTTTCAAGTACGCAGCTTGATTTCCCTGATCGCGTTATTTGATTTTCAGTTATTCCAAAATTAATATAAATGAAAAAAGCTGCAAATATTAATAAAAAACGAAGTGGAAAATTGCAATTTTTAAGCCTTTAAACGAAACTCTTCCCTCTTTTCCCTACACTAATTTTTTTCGATTGAAATCCCTATGGGTAGGGAATTATACCAGCATGATCATACCAACACCGATTTGTCATCAATTATTATAAACTAGTAATAATGCCCGAAAATCGGGGTGCTCCGTGGTCTAAAAAATCTGCATATTCTTTTATTCTAAAAACCACATGCATTGCTTTTGGTAGCTAACTTTTACTTGGTATTTGGGCTAGATCGTACTCAACTCAATACGCCATGCGTTAAGCAATCCTGGTGCTAGGGTCTGACCTTGCGACTTATTTATTGTTATTGCGAACGCTACAATAATTTTGAATTGGCGACGTTTAAATACAAAAGCAAGTATTTATTCGCTGGGCTGTTAATTTATATGGGATAATATAATTGGAATCACATGTTTAAATCCATGTACATTAGATTGCAAAAAAAGTTGCGGTTTTTCCGCCGGGATTACAAAGCTTATTATATTTTAAGACGTCCACCAAAATATTTCAGAAAAACATTAAGATTTAAGCGAGCTGGATCGATTTGAAAATACCTCCAAAAATGGAGTTTTTTATGAATAAAAATAGTTTCTTAAAGAACTTTTTGAATAAAGTCCCCTCAGATGACAAAACAAAATAGGCCTAAAAATTCTGCATAAAAATATTTAAAAATCTTTTCCACGGAATCGTAATAATGAGATTTTTGATGCTGTTTTTTACTGTTTTCAAAGATTGATTCACGAAAAACTTAAATAACTGGGCCAAACCTATTCTGATTTAGACTTATGGGATCTCGGTAGAAAGGTATTTTCCCACTATTTTTATTTATGCGCAAAAAAGTAATTCGGGTCCCAATATATTTTTTTTTCAAATACCAACAGATCTTAATTCAACTCTGAATGATATTCGTTCATCCCACCTTTCTCTTTCATCCTTTGAATGAGTTTATTCTCTTCTTCTACTTTATTGGCGCTGTAACCGCCTAAGCGATTTTGGCCGAGTCCAAAACAGCACGCCAGTCATTTCTATTCTGTGCTAACTGACGCCAATTGGAAATGCCAAGTGAAGCCAAGTCCTTCTCCACC